CTCATATTTGTGTGTGGAGTTTTTATCATCTTAGCTTGGCAAGGGTCACTTGAGCTGGTCAACAATTCAAGATCACTTGAGATTGCCTTAAGGTAGAGATGCAGTTTACCTGACAGGTATTTTAATTAGTTAATTAGGAAACCAAGATGACCTCCCTTGTCCACAAAACTATATATTTTCGGAAATCTCATTGTATGAATTTTAAAAATTGTTTAGTATTTTTTTTTATGGACACTGTAGTTTGAAATATGCACAAAAATGTGCTTTTTTGGTCAAAAGTGATTTAAAAAAAATTTGCTTCTAAACCATGCTTCTGTTTCCTGTCAAAATTGGTTTATGAGTACATCTGTTTACTATGAAGAAAGTGCCGTCTTGAAAACTGTCTACCAGTTGTCAATTTTGCAGGGCAGCAGCTAAAATTTCACTACTTCAAGTTTATGCATAAATTAACACCCAGGCCAGTTGTCTGTTCGATTGTTGTAACACTGTTCAACCAAAAACAATGCCCCGACGGCGTTTTGAAGATAAACACATTGTCAATCATTTGTGAAAATTTCAAAACAAAAGGTCAAAGCGTCTAGGAGCTATTTTTTTTTAAAGTTCTGGGATGTGCACTAAAAAGAAGCTGAGATAATTGCTAATTTGCATAACAATTTCACTCAGTAAGAAGTTTGCTAATGCTCATAATTAAAATGGCTGTAACAGTTCCAAATTTAAATGTATTTTCGTTTTGTAAAAAGTTAAATATAGTTCATAATATGGACATCCCGTCATTTCTTTTTTTTCACCATATTTCTTTTTTATTATTTATGTACAGCCTTGCTAAATCTTGCTAAGCATTCACCTGTTATCTATATTTTAAAATCGTTTTTTGAGTATGTTCCACTATTCACAATTCTACAAAATTTTCACAGTCTATAGCCAAGACTGTTTGGATAATAAAAAGCAAAAAAAAAAAATTTCACTCCCAACGTGCCCACGAACCTGCATCTCTACCTTAATAGCATTTTAACAAGTATAATGTATTTCACTGCAATGAGATTATTCACAGCCACAATCTGAACAAAATTATCAAGTGTTTATTTTATTTATCAGTGACTTCTAAGAATCAAACACGATGTCTCTGGATAAATGGTACAGAAGAACAAATAAATGATGCTAGGCAGAGAATTGAAAAGTTAATAGCTCAAAGCACAGAATCTGAAATTCAGGTAACATATCTTAACACTATTTTGGCCCCCTGTGTGTAGCAGTACTACAATGGCAAGTTAATGTCATACTGGTGTCTGTGTGTCTGGATAGTGGTGGGTGTATGTCTACTTATCATACTTGTTTGACTTAGATACTCCAGAAATCATATTTTTAGGGTGGACGGTGCTTAGACCAGTACCCTGCTTGAATAATTATGCAAAAGATAATTTTACTTCAAAGTGTGCCAGCTTAGGGGAAATATTACGCCACTTAGATGAAAATTAAATTGACAAATTAATTGCATCGTCATTGATTTCCACAACACTACCGGTATTTCTAATAGTGGTGATGTATTTGAATTTACAAAATTTTTTCATTCTTTCAGGATCGAGTACAACATGGACATAGATTGGAACATGAAACACAATCACGGAACAAGTATGTAAAAGAACCTGTTGCAGAAAAAAAGAAAAACATTTGTTTTGTAAAACCAAAACAAATTCTAAGGAAAACCAAGATGAAAGTTGAAACCACAAACGATGGAGCTAATGTCACGAAGAGTAAAATTGTAGATGACAGTCTGTTAAAACCATTAGTGATGTATGCTTCGAGTGATGAGGAAGAAGATGTTACCATAGATACAAAATAAAGATAGCATTATGGGATGTTGGGAAAGATTTAATAAACACACTGAAAAATTTGAGTGACTGTTTGATTGTAGTTTCGTGGTAAGAAAAATATGACACCTGAACATTCGGAAGGAACTTGATTATTATATACCGTATATATATATATAAAATATGTTTCTCACTTTTTTGTCCATTTCAGTTTTATTATCACTAGAGTGATTTATAACCTATGTTTCTTGGATGTCTATAATAAATATTATTACAAATCTAACACCACTGGAGTGAGTATTACACGTAAATGTAATACCATTGAATACATCATACCTGTACTGTTATTTCTCAACAACTGGTCTGTGACAATGTGTACCAAGTTAGATTCAATCCAAATAATCAGCTAAACCCGAGCCGAACCCCAACTTAAAAAATCATTATTAGGAAGGAATATCATGTAAACTGAGAACAGACTTCTCAAGGTAGAGTGAACCAAGTGAGTATTGATCACCATATCCGGGAGGAGAATAACACACTGGAGAGGAGCACTTGTAGCCAAGGTGTTTATTGCTCAACTGCTAGGCCTGGAACTGAGTCTAGATGTTCCATACAATGTATCAATATCATTATGCAAATAACTAAACTAAACGTCATAGCCTCAAATCATTACATTCCTTTCCCCTTATAGAGGATGAAAACTCTGTTTTTAAAACTTTGAGATACACTTGAAAATACTTTGAACTCAATAATAACAAGTTAAATATATAACCATAAATACCAACAAACAATTCCAAAATATGGCTGTGCTGCAGTACCTGGATAAACTTAATATTTAGCACATGATATTTAGGTGATAGAAAAGCACCAAGCCGCACACAGCACTCATCATTTGCTGACAACTAATTTGGCAAGTCAATCCACATCTGACTGCCATGCTCTTGACAAGCCATCAGCATTGCCATTTTCGACCCCTTTTTTATGTTGAAAATTTATCTGGTACCCTTGCAGGGTCAGACTCCAACGCATCAGTCTACGATTTTGTTCGCGCAATTGATTCAGCCATTTTAAAGGATGATGCTCTACCATACAAATATGGGTATAATGCTTCCACTGCCCAAACAATGGCCAAACATTCCTTCTTGATAGTTGCATAATTCATTTCACGAGGCAACAACTTCCTACTGATGTATACTATGGGATGTTCTTCTCCTTTGTCATTATTTTGACTTAACATCCCACCGCTGCCACCATATGTAAACTGAGAACAGACTTCTCAAGGTAGAGTAAACCAAGTGAGTATTGGTCACCAAATCCGGAGGGGAATAACGCACTGGAGAGGAGCACTTGTAGGTGTTTATTGCTCAACTGCTAGGCCTGAAACTGAGTCTAAATACTCACGAGATGTTCCATGACAATGTATCAATATCATTATGCAAATAACTAAACTAAACGTCATAGCCTCAAATCATTACAATCATGTTAAGTTTGGAAGTTAAGGGAAATACTGCTATGATAAATATAATAATAGTAGAGCAAATTATTTAAAGTTCACTTCCTCTATAATGATAAAAAGTACTAAATTTACCATTCCGGCCCTTATATTGGCGTATTTTAATCAAATCGTTGACAATTCCCCATATAAGTGAATGCCTGCAGCATTTAAGGTATAGATGCAGGTTCGTGGGCACTTGGGAGTGAATTTTCTTTTTTGTTGCTTTTTTGGTACATATATACCAAGTATGAAAACTAACAGACTGGGTGTTTCCAAGAAGTCAAAGATAAAGTTCTAAAGTTAACACCGACAGACAACAGACGACAGACAATAAGTACTAAGAAAAAAGTTCTGTTATGTTGACAGTGGAGCTAATAAAATTTAATCCCCATAACAATACAATTTAGGAGATTCACATAATTAATTCAAAAGCAAAATAACGGGATCGATTGTACAGATTTTTCTTGAAGGAACTAACTAGTTTTCCTGAATAGGGGTCATCTGATATAATGTACAGGAAAGAAATGCGTTAACTCCATATTGGATTTTGTGGGATAGAAAATTGAACTACAGAGGGTGTTTGGGGGTTGAGCTCATATCTGTTCTATACAGCCATATACAACCCTACAACCCTATAGTTCAATTTTCTATCCAACAATTCTTTGCAAAATTTAATATGGGAGTTAACTCATACCATACTCATA